TTACTCCAGTTAACCTTCTTATTATTTATCTGAGGAGGAAAATGGTTTCTAAAAGTTAACAGTTTTGATATTTATCATCTATGGCTTTGGAAAAAGTCTTGCGAACCATATGTTTTGGAATGAATTTTCTTTGACAAATAGTGTTGCCTTTAAAATTCTTTAGTTTGTAGAATGAGAGTTGCTCATTTTTTTTTGATAAAATAGTATGTCAAAATGTTATAGTTGGAAGACTTTTTGAAAAGAAAAGCATTTTTATGTGATAATCTAAGAATATGTTTTATTTTGTTTGGGAAAAAAAACTTTTGTAGTTTTGTACTCCTTGTGAATTTGATTGTGTCTGATTTTTGTAGAGTAAAAACTTTTTTAGTTTTCTACTATGGATAAATAAGACTATGCAATTGGTTTGAAGAATATGAAAACTTCATCTAATAAGTCAGTGTTGCACTTTTTTGTTTTCTATAAACTTCACTATTAAATAGAAAAAAATTGTACAAAAGTTTTTCTCTTTATTATTACTATTCTAAATACTAAGTGGTATGTCTAATTATAATAGAAAAAACACAAGTGACTTAAAGTGTGTTATTTTGTGTCTGCAATAGGTGTCTCTATGAAATGAACTTTGACGGTATGTAAAGATTGTCAAAGAAAATTGAAGCACTATAATTCTTTCGTAGAATAATATTTCTGAAGGAGGTTTCATGCTGCCATTGATAGTCTACGGAAATATGTGCAAAAAATATTTTCAACTATTTGAAAAATGTTTTTGAGATCATGTTTAAAATATGTGGGGTTCTTTGCTTATGACAAAGATAAAATTAGACTTACTGTCTAATTTAAATTTGCAGCACAAGATATGAAATTTGATGATACTTTTGTATTATGTTAGACCCACAAAATCCTTGGAGTATATTTGATATTGTAGTCGTTGAGTTTCTCTTTTACTAGTATATGGTATGACTAGTATGAAAACTACCGAATTATATGTATACTTGTTCAAAATGATTGAGTTCTTTTATGAAAAAGTATCACTTAAAATGTTGTGATTTTTCATGAAAAGATATGTCTATTAAATAAAACTATTTGTATAGACATGAATATTGGTGAATAGTCATTTGTCATGTTTTGTAAAAAAAGCATTTGAACTATATTGCCTTTATTGGACCCGATGAATCTGTGTTCATGGGCAGTTCTATAACAATCAAATTGAAAGTTATGGAAAGGTCCTTCCAAAAAGGACATTTGATAAGTTGATGCCTCTAAACAATGTTTGTATCACACAAAATTGTAAGAGATAGGAACAAATATTTGTGAGAAAAAGCTACCTCGCGGAGAGCTTTTCAAACTCAATATTTTTATTTGTTCTTACTTGTTTGAGTCAAATTGTTTGTGACATGAACACTTGGGACATGTCAATTACAAAACCTTGTAATGAAAACTGAACAACTTAGAAGTTTTGTCTAGCTTTGAGTGCAATAAATAAAAATGTCAAGTTTGTGTGGAATCTAAGTATGTTGAGCATTCTTATAAATCTGTTGAAAGGAATTCTAATCCCTTAGAGTTGATTTACACTGACATTTGTGATATGAAGTCAACACCATCTCGCGGTGGAAAATAGTATCTCATAACTTATATTGAGAATTGCATTTGATACGGTTATGTCTATTTGCTGAAGGGTAAGGATGAAGTAGTAGAAACGTCTAGGCAATATAAAATTGAAGTTGAAATCAGTTGGGAAAAAGATAAGAAGTGATAGGGATGAAGAGTTTATATCTCCTTTTGGAGAAATATGTTTGGAAAGTGGATTTATCCATCAAACTATTGTCCTATTCACCTAAATCTAATGGAATTGCAGAATGAAAAAAAGCTGAACTTTGAAGGAAATGATGATTGCATTACTTATAAGTTCAAGTTTACCACAAAACTTTTGTGGAGGAACTATCCTTACTGCAAAAGGGAACAACAAAAAGTTTTGTCTTTTCAGAAAGAAAGCAATTTTGTTAGTTCAAGACACAATCCACTCCATATGAGAAATGGAAAGGAAGGAAATCCAACTTAAAATATTTCAAAGTGTGGGGGTGTCTAGCCAAACTCTAAGTTCCTATTCCTAAAAGGATTAAAATAGGACCTAAGAACTAGGGACTATAAAATTAGACTTCAGTAGTCTAGCAAAAGGTCTAAAAGACCTTGGAAAGAACAAAAGGAGAATGTAATTAATAACGAGATTCAGACGTGTAGTAAATGTTGAAGGACATCCACTACCTTTGGATATGATTTTGTAACATTTTCTATGTCTTATGTGGACTCATCCTTTTGGAAAGATACTGTTAATAGTGAGATTGGTTCAATCTTGAGCAATCCTATTGAAAGTTGGTTGATCTTCCTCCAGGAAATAAACCTTTGAGTTCAAATTGAATCCTCAGAAGAAAAATGAAAGTCGATGGAACAGTTGACAAATATAAAGCAAGACTTTTTGTCAAAGGCATTAGAAAAAATACAAGGTCTTGATCTTATCGAAACATACTCGTCAGTAACTAGAATTACATTCATTCGGATGTTAATATTAATAGATATTAATAGTTACGGTTTATGACCTCCAAATTCATCAAATTAATGTTAAAGCAACTCTCTTAAATGGAGAATTGGAGAAAGAAATTTACATGGAACATCCCGTGGGTTTTGTGATTCGTGGTAAAGAAAAAAAAGTGTGCAAAACTTGTTAAGTCACTTTATGGACAATAACAAGCAGTCAAACAATGACATAAGAAGTTTGACCAAAGCATGTTGGCAAATGGATTTAAGAATGATGGAAGTGATAAATGTTTTTACATTAAATCACAAGGTCATTGTTTGTTTGAATATTGATGGCATGTTGATCATCAGTAGAGACACTAATGACATAAATGCTACTAAACGTATGCTAGAAAGAAAGTTTGATATGAAAGATCTTGGAGTTGCTCATGTGATCTTAGGTATAAGAATCCTTAGAACTCTATAATTTTTAGCATTGTCACGGTCTCATTGCATTGAAAAGGTACTTGACTAGTTCAAATAATTGGATTTCAAATATTGTCAACACTCCAATAAATGTGAGTTTTGCATTCCAAAAGAGTGAAGGCAAAACTGACTTACAATTGGATTATGCAAGAGTATTGGGAATTATGATATATATCATGAAGTGTACGCGATCAGATATAGCATGTGCTATTGATAAACTGAGTCGGTTCACGAGTGATTCCAATAGAACTCACTAGATGACAATGAAAAAAGTTTTGGGGTATTTAAAACATACTTAAAATTATGTCTTGTATTATAAAAGATATCCAGCAGTATTGCAAGGATATAGTGATGCAATTGGATCACCGAGATCAAATGAAGTAAAATCCACGAGTGGATATGTATTTACTTTTGGTAGAGGAGAAGTCTCTTGGAAATCTTCCAAAAAGACATGTATCACTATTGTACTACAATGTCGAGGATTACATCTCTCGATTGTTGTTGTTGCAGGATTTCTTGGTCAAATGGACCCAACACTAGATAATTGGAAGAATGTTGAGGAAAATCTGAACTGATTCTTTGCTACTGTATCCGAACGGTTTCAATCAATTCTTTCTTTGGAAGTTCTCCTGAAGATAAAGAGATTAATGTTCCCAAGTTGATTAGAAACAATAAAATGTTTAAAGTGGTGGCATAGGAGTACGTAGAAGAGTTAACTGATAGAAGTCTAATTTTGGCCTGTACACAAAGGACTAACGGAAGGATAAGAACTTGAAAATTCATGATATTCTTCGCCAACTATGATCAACGGGGAGTGATCCTTCTATCTACACTTGAAGAGAAACATGATTATTGTATGCGACATAGCAATGGTATAATCCTCACCTTTATTTCAATCCAAGCAGATATTCCAAAACAGTTGTTTTACGGTTGAAGTTGCTTAGAGGATGTAGAGATTGCTTTGCTTAAGGTATTGGACGTATTTTCAATTGAATATGATTTCTCTTGTTTAATACCCCAGCTTATACATTTGAGATATGTTTCTGCAAGAAATGAAGAGATCTACAAACCATAATTCTTCGAAGAGAAATGGATAGGATTGATGCTCCCAGTAGATATATACCTGGAAAATGTCAAAGATAAGACATTTGGATATTGTATCGCCACTATATATATATTTAATCCTCTTGAGGCAGAAAATCATGGTATTGAAGAAAAACCTTTGTTTCGAAATAACTTGAACATACTTTATCTTCTTTATTCTCCTTTTGCTGTGGAAATCATAAGAACTTCGAATCTAACAGAGCTAAAGATTTTACAATCCATTGACCCGATCATGATTTTCTATAAGGCTATTTTCCTTAAAAGTACTTGCATACCATGGGAATTCATGACTTTGCTGGCTAATTTACCCAATCTCAAATGGTTTTATGTATTCGTTAGAACAAATTGGACACTAAATGAAGATGTTGTCTTTGGCAAATTAAAATATTTACGAATTGTAGAAGCAGATCTGCAAAGGTGGGAAGCGGGTAATGATAATTTTCCGATGCTTGAGTAACTAATATTGCATGGGTTGCATAATCTAGAGGAGTTTCTTGAGAGTATTAGAGAAATAAATTCAGCGCGATATATGATAATATAGGCATATCACATTTTTTTCTAGAAGTTTGTAATATCTTGAAATATGTTGATAAAGAAGAGATACAACATTACAATGGACTAAGAACATAACATTTATAATTAAAATTACTAACTTCGACTGAATCATAACTGATGAACACAACACTTAGTACTGGCTTCGACTGAATCATAACTCGTGAACATTTCATGATGAACACCTCAAATGAAAAATGAACCTAGACACTTAATATAATATTTAAGTTTTTAATTTTACTTTCGACAATTCCATAACATGAACACTAGTAATTGGGAACTATAGAAGAAGTAGATCCACTAACCCTATTCGCAAAGGGTCCACCAACATTTAGTCCATATGAAGAACTTTAGCTAACACAATTTGGAGGAGTCCAGGCACTTCTCCATGTCTGATATGGGAATGCATTATTATTCACCATTTGTGCCTCTTTGTCAACCTTTTGCTTTAGAATTTTCAATGCCTTCTTCAAGTGTTGAAGTTGTAATAAGTTAAGTTCTTCCATAGGAGATTCCCACCATAGAACATTAGCTCTCTTCCTAATTTCTCGAAGGGATTCTCCGCGATTTTTCTCCATCTGGAGAACCCCCTCAAGGTTCACAATCTTGGTATTGAGCTCAAGAATACCAGCTTCTCTACGAGCCATGATTTGTTGATTGTGGACATCGTTATTTGGTGGAGGGAGGTTCCTTCCAAGGAACCTCTCGACCAACGTGTCCACGCTAGGGTGACCAAAGGAGAAAACTCCTTTATCGCCGGGGAAATTACCACAATGACAATTTCAGCACCTCATAGTGTACAAAGTTCACTAGCCTTTTTTAACAGACCAGCACGACGCTTAGAAAACGTAACTTGTAAGTTCCTCGCATTCTTGTTTTTCACCATGTCAACCCTTTGACGACCCTTGCTGGTTCTTGTTGTCATGTCTAAACTATCACTAAGAAATTGTGAAAATAAAATTGTGATTTTTGGTCTTAACACCAACAACTCTATATAGGAAATTGTGTTTTAAAATAACTTGGGGAGCCTAGAAATTTATGTTCTTTCCTTTTTTTGCAGTGAAGAAAAGTATTGAAAATGAAAAACATTAGATTCACTTGCCCTTCATTCTTTGTCTCGGTAGATGTAGGTCTTATTATCATAATTAGACTATAAATATTTTTCCTAAATAGAATTATATTATTGGACTACACTTGACCGGTAGGTCTTATTATCATAATTAGACTATAAATATTTTTCCTAAATAGAATTATATTATTGGACTACACTTGACCGCCATTTTTTTTAGAACAATTTTTTTAAAAAAAATATAAAAAATGATTAATAAAACCCTTAATGTGTTAATAGAAAACCGAATTTTGCATTTACCATTGAACTTTCCTAGTCAATCATCATTTAGAGACCTACAATGTATCACATCAAGCATATGCAGGTGTTTGGATTTATAAATATATCAACAATACTACATTCAATAAAGATCACAAACTCCGTGTAGTGATTTATTTGCCTTTTTAATTAGTAAATGCTAAACTACTCACATTTCAAATATTATATTGATTTATATTGGATTTATTTAACAATAAACAACTCTCTCTAAATAATAAAATTTGTAAGCTAATTTATTTGAATAAATTTATTAGTACAAATATAAAACATAAAATACAGAAAATAAACAAAATCGTTAAAAGAATTTGAGGGACAATTTTTTTGCTTTACATAGATTTATACCGTAGTATTAAATTCTAAGTATTCCTAATGTCACCAAATGTAAGGTATTAGTTATACATCATATACCATGTAGGGTGTACAACTAATCGATGAATTAGTTATACATAGGCCTTAAGTTCCTACCAAACATAGTACTAAATAATACCATAAAAATACATGGACTATTTCTCCTATCATTCCCTACCAAACGACTCATTAGTATTTTTGAATTCTTTTATGTTTCTACAACTTATATAAACTTTGTCCTAATTAAACTTTCTTCTCCTTGTCTCTACCCAACCTATGTGTTACCATAATCTGGTATTCCATTAGTGATGACCTACCAAAGGAATTCGTACCAAAACCCTAAATTTTCATCAGATAAATTTTGTTGGTAGGCGTCATTGTCAACGCCAGCGATAGATGGCCTACACTCCATTCTGGTGAACCACCACCAAAACCACCGTTGAACTATGCAATGACTTTTAATAAAGTAGAAGACAAAATCACAATGCCTATCTGTAACACCCCAGAAAATTTTTGAGCTAAGACTCGAACCATCATTCGTAGTGAGTAAGTTTTTACCAAGAAATTTAAAATTTCTTGAGTGTTAAGGTCACTAGATATTGCCCCTTGAGTTCCAAGAAGAACCTAAGAGAAAAGCATTCAAGTCATTCCTAGTTTTTCTTAAGTTTTGGGTCAACTTCAAACGACCATACCTCCTAGTACAAGATGAGTTAGGTGAGCTACAAGATAGAAAATTAAATCCCTTCGAGTCCTCTTTCCAATGCCGCCAAGTTTTCTCAATTCCGAGCTCTGAGTAAAATGTTATGACTGATTTACTAACGTCACGCAAACCAGGCAGCAGCTCCGCGACGTGGAGCCAATATGGACCTCACTACCTGGTGAAAAATAATTCTGACTCCTAGCTCGTTTTATTTATTTCTTTAAGGGTATTTTAGTCCTAAAAACTCTTAGGAGGTCATCTAAATTGCCCTAAACGAATAGAAAATCAGTTTTCACAAATCAAAACCCTCTCATTCACTCCAAAGATTCTACGCTCAAGAAAATCAGGAAAAGCTAAGGCTAGGGATCTTCTTTCCAGATTTTTCCTTCAAGTTCTTCAAGAAGATGGCTCTTTCAGGTATGTAAGCTTCCATAGTGTTGGCTTTGTTCACCCACACGCCAAACATGTTAATTTCAGCTTTAAATTCGTTCTTAAAGTTGAAGGTTTGATGTTCTTGTTATGTATTCATGAATTTACTTTCATTCTTGAATTGGGTTGAGATTGAGGAGTTCTTGAGGTTAATATGTCGATTTATAGAGTGGTTAGAGTTAGATTCGAGTGTACATGTGCTGGGTATATAAATGTAAAGGGAGATTGAGAAAAAGAATTGAATTTAGGCAATTTGGGGCTGGGAAACGAAGAAGGAGAAAGTCGAGTGCGATTTGGCACGCAAGTCTGCGTCGCGGACTTGCTCCCCCAGTGAGCTAAAAGTTGCTCCGCGTCGCGGTTAGGACGCGGACTCCTCTGTCTCAAAATTTAATTTCACGAGTATTATTTACAACCATCTCCGCATCGCGGACTTGTTCCAAGACGGTGTTTCGTGACTTTTCTCATGTTTAGCTATTAACAATCATTCTTAAACATCATGAGACCTTTCCTATCACAAGTCACAACCTTGAATCCAAAATTCAAATTCAAGGTAGAGTTAAAAGTTAAGTCTTGAGTATTTTTTTGAACATTTTGAGAAAGTCCCTTTTAGTCCTTTCTCGAGTCTTCTACAAATTCTAATAATTTGTTACAAGACTCGAGAAAGTGAGTATGAGTGAGAAGAATGTATTCATGAGTCCACTTTATCATTACAAGATCCTTTATATCATGAACTATAACTGTTGAATTCATAATTCACATTTAAGAGTGTTAAGGGTAGAGTTCAAGAAAGCCTTTGAGTCCAATTGTGAATCCTTGACATCAACTATCAATTTGAACTAAGTTTTGAGAAAGTAATTTAGAGAGAAGAGAATGAGAAGAGTCGTATACCTGAGTTCCTTATTGATATTTTGACCCTTGAGTCAAGTCGTTCATGCCCATAACTTCCGCATGAACTCTATCAATTTAGTATCTTTGAAAGTAGTAGTATCTTCAAGTTCTAAGCCTTTAAGTGTTGAATTCCTACTCCCTTTTGAGAAGTATCTTTGAGTCCTTGAGTTGAATATTTCATGTCCATAATTCGGTATGAACCATATTTTAAGAAGTTTTTTACAAACGGTTTAACTTTGTTTTAAGACTTATGTTTTGAGTTCAGTAAAGAGTAAAGTTGAAGTTCTTTTCTTCAAAAAGTATATGGGGACTATGTATTCCCATAGAGATTTAAAATGTTTTCACATTTAAATAAGAACAGAAACTGAGGTTTCCAAAGAGCCTTCGAGCTAGTTTTTAGAAAAGAATATCGCTTTCTAAATGAAGCAAGAGGGGAAATTGAGATTTGCAAGATAGCCTTTGAGCTAAGTTTTGAGAAATGATCTCAAATCACAGAAAGAAGTATGTTTTAAACATAAATAGCTAGTATCATATTTTGGTAGTAGTATTGAGCACCGAATTGGCGGCGAGCATGAGTTCAGATAACTCACGTCTTCACAAAACCATGTAGCCACCATGGGTAGAAAAGGGTCATACTTTTTAGATGAACCTTTTTCACAATAGACTAGTGGATCCACTTAGTAGTTCAGGTCCTATGCTGATAGCAAGGTATAGAATGGTCCTTGGCAGCGTGAGGTAATTGTTGTATCATCACTATAGCTCTTAAGTGATAGTTGTCGGTTCGAGAAACTTCCACAGAAATTATATTATTTTCTTATATGAGAAAAGCTGAGTTTTTTATTGCATTTTCTCTAACGAACTAAGTTTTTTTACTGTTTTATAACGCTTTCCATGTATTGCATGTGTATTGTTGCTTTATATTGAGCTGAGTATCCAGAGTTGAGTATCCGAAGTTGAGTACCCAGAGTCAAATATCATATCTTTGTGTTGAGTATCTAATCTCTGAGTTGAGTACCTTATCCTTGATTACTTCTGAGATGAGTAAGTTTGAGTAGTTTGGATTATTCCTTGAGTTGAGTAAGATTGGGAAGAGGTACGTATGTTTACTTCTTATCAAGTTTCAAGCTTATGTTTGCGTTTTAGAATTCCCCTTACATGCTCGTACATTCCACGTATTGAGCCATTTGGCCTGCATCTTTTCATGATGCAGACACAGGTATTCGGGATCATCAACAGGAGATTCGTTGATACATCCGGGAGTTCGAGTTAGCTATGGGGAGCCTCCTCGCTTCCGGAGGATTTCATTTACTTTTCAGTTTAGTCATGATGTCATGGCTCTTGCCCCGACTTCCATGTTTATCAGTTAGAGACTTCATAGATAGTCAGTATAGTTGAGAAGTTTGTATTATTCATTTATTTTATTAATTGTTTTAAAGACTTAAAGTGTCTATTTTATGGAAAGTTTAATATATTATTTTTTTCACGGTTTTTCATATGAGTTAAAGCTTTGTATTTTAGTTTCGTGAATTTTATTCAGTTTTTAAACTTTGTATGCTTGAGTTAGTCTTCCGTCTGTAGTCAGCTAGGATGAGGGTTCGCTTGGGGACCATCAATGGTTCTTGAGTGTCGGCCACGTCCAGGGTGTAGGCTCGGGTCGTGACAAACTTGGTATCAGAGGGTGTTTATGAAGCCGTGCCGGTAAGATTTAGTTTATGGTTGTGAAGTCCCCACTTCTATAACGAGGGATTACAGACATTTAAGAAAAGTTTCCCTTCTTTCATACTCTTAATCGTGCAATAGAGCAATGTCATAGAGACTTATTCTAACTCGTGGGTTTCTCATAATCATTCGACTACCCATCATACTAGAGGTGGTTGAAAAGCAAAGTCAGTTCTTTGTCAATGAGTCGTTCTTAGCAAGAGTCTTGAGAAAGTCATGAGACTCCAAAGGGGCTTGAGAGAAGCCCAAGAGTAAGTTAAGTGTTCAGTTTCAGAGGAATGGACCCATATTCATTTGAATCGTGCGTTTGAGCTAAAAGTGAGTTGTACTCTTTTCCTTAAGCCTCGTTTTAGCTGAAATAATCCTTATGAGGAAGTATGTTTAGATCTTGGGTAGCATTTTCACCCTGAAGGGTAACATTAGTTATGAGCTCATGAGCAGTTGTAGTGAAAGA